AAAGTAAAAACCATTATGAAAATAGAGAAGCTGTGTGGATAAGATGCGTGGCAGCAACATGATGGAAGATGATCAGCACCTGAGTGAATCAGCAGAGTCTAGTGCAAAAGAAGGCGTTTGAGCTCATCAGCTTGAATTGTCATTAACCCCATGAACTGGGCTGTGAGGAGCTCCTCATCTGGAGTGGTGAATTTGGAGTAAATGGCACACTTCCAGGTTTTACACCTCCCTTTATTCCCAAGAACTGGGAACATTTTTGTCTTTGTTCAGAAAGATGTTGTCTCAAGACAACTGTTTTTCCTCAGAAGCCTTTCATGCATTCCCATAATGCTGCTTCCCAAGGTTGGGAAATTCTTCAACTCCCTTATCTGAATACTGTTGCGTTTAGGGTCTTTACAGCCCCAGTTTCTCAATATCACGTTGTTTGTACCAAGAACATGCCTTGAAGTTAGATATGAAGTGCTTGTTTACTGTCTGTTGCATCAGTTGTCATCTGTGAGGAGTGTCAGTAGGCAGTTCAGGACATCGATAGGTCTGTGCTGCGTGGTCACTGTTGCTGTGGCCATGAACAGGCTTGTTTCTACTGAATTCCCGATGCTGATTCCAGCAGAAATCCCATTGCCTGTGTGTAGCACATATTTTCACTTTACCCTCTCCCATGTACCCACCCCTAGGGACTAAAAATTCTCTTGTCCATTGCTGCTTCTCTGGTCTTAGCTCTGGAGCAACATTCCTCCCGTTTGCTGGAGAGGGGGATGGCTGAATACCACAGGGAAGCAGTTTTTCTGTGCTCTTGAAGTGTTAGCTCTCCCTTTCCAGGTAGGGCTGCTAACCATCGCTAGCTTTTCCTTAGTATGTTCCATGTGTTTTTGAGTTTTGTACATTCGCATATGGTCATGAATATGACTGTCACGTGTCTGTGACTGCAGAATGGAGACTGCTGACTGTGTATTCTGCATGTTGTGTATTTCAGCAGCATGTGAAATATAAGTACCTTGAAGTCAGAACAGCTGTTGTGCACATACAACTACTGTAGCGAGAGGGATCGTACTTTGTCTTCTGGGAAATTGGCACTAGAGTTGCAATAAAAATATAAAAGATGCTGTGTATTCAGTCAGTTGTTATTATGATGTGCAGCTATAGGTTTGATAGGAAAGAAGCAGAAATAATTGACTTTCCTGAACCTAGGATTTAATTTTCCCCTGTTCTTGTGTTTTCCTTGGCAACTTCCTGGGTCAGGCAGATGGAAGTAAAGTCACTTTAAATAAAGTGCAATCTGCTTCTGTTTCCCGCTTGGAATGATATTGAGATAACACAATTTCAAGTTGTACAGGACCTGCACAAAGGAAATTACTGTGTTCTTGCTTCTGATCTTCAGCGGTGTTGGGAAATACTGGGTGTGACTTCAATCCATTTCCTTAGTGCAAGACTGCTCATCTGCACATGGGTGGAGAGGCAAGAGGTTCTAGTTTCAGGCCAAACCAACATCTTAAGATGTGGGTGGCTGGAAGCTGTTGTTTGCTTTTATTATTGACGTGGAGACTATATACACTTAAGATTTTAAAATGCTTTTTACATTTATTATTAATATTACCAGTGCCTTACGTTGCTTTTCCCCCTTGTTTTCCCTATTTCTCTCCTCCTCCAGTTCACTAATGGTAGGGTCCATATGTTACAAATCACACGATACCATGACACATGTATGTGTATATATACGAGATGCCTGGTGACTCTGCTCAGACTGCACTGAGCTTTCTTCTTCAGAGCCACCCGTCGTTTCGGAGAAGTTGCCTGCCACTATGATGACTGGAGGTTTTTCAGAGACCAAACCTGCTACTCCAGAAGTCCAGCATATTACTGATGAGGTGAGTGGCAACCTACCTAAAGATGAAATCCCTGTGTGCAAAGGGCTGAGTCTTGGAGCTTATGCAAAGGCTGGGAGACCAGGGGGGTGATACTGAGCTGGTATTTGAACTGAAGAAGCTGGTGCTGGATGTGGGAATTCCCTTGATTGCCAGCAAGTATTTTCTCAGCATTTCTCAGTATTCTGCACAGGCAGTGCACTGGTAAAGCTGAGACAAACCACTTCTCTGGCTCATCCTTGTCCATAGCCTGGCATAGTGCTGGCTACCTGCAGTTAATGTTTGCACGTGGTTTGAAGTCCAACTCTACTATGCCAGGACTGAGGTGGCTTGTTTGAAATTTAAAGGTGGTGTATTTGAAGAGAAAAGATTATACCTGGTAGAATCAGTTCCTTACTGAAGGACATGGACCAGACAAACCATGTGGTAGTGTGCACTAAAAAAAAAGATATATACAGAACAAGACTGTGGATAAATGGCATGTTCTCTGCTGGCATCTGGTGTTTTCTAGAGTCACAGCTGTGATGCAGGGGCTGCGGGTGAGCCAACAGGACCTGGTCACAAGGCAGGCAGGGCGAGTCCACTTGCCATGGTGGTTGGTCACAGGCAGTGGTCCTGTCCTGGAAGCAGCTGTGTGAACAACACTTCCGCAGATCCTCTAATGCCCTGCAGTGCAACAGCTCTTCAAAGGGTGTAAAGTGCATCCTGAGGAGCGGGGAGGGGACAACATGACATGGGAAAATTCCTTTTCTGTCTCCCGTGTTCTCATCCACACCACCAATCCCCTTCACCCTCCCAGTGAGCTCTTCCCCCTTTGGCAACTGCACAAAGCATAACTTACACCTTCCTTGAGGAAACAAAAAGAGGAAGTTGCAGGACTGGACATGTTGGCCAATACTGCTGCACACTCCTGTGTGTGCAGGGCTCCCAGCTCTCTCCCTTCCAGTGCCATGGAGGACAGAGTTTGCAGCAGTACCAATCCACATCTCCTGCAAGCTTGCAGGCTTAGACCAGGCAACGATGAAACCAGACAGGTGAGGTGAGCTGGGCGGTGCATGCAGAGGGGCAGAGCCACCAGGAGAGCTCTAAATAGGCTGTGTACTCTCTGACCAGGTTCTTTTAGATATTCCTCACGTGGAGACTATAATGTTTAATATCAGACTCATTTGAAGATATTTGATGTTATATGAGATTTCTGATTTAGCATGGTGAGACAAGTATACTGGTAACACAGTACAGATGTAAGTTACTCTTAGCAAAATAAATTGCTACAATTGCAACTGTGCAATACACAGTTCAATCACAGTACCAATGTGACCGCTATGGTCACTGTCATGACACCGAGCATCCTCAGTTACCAGTATGTGGGTTGAAGCCAGCTCAAACCTGCTGTTTTCTTTGAAATTCTTTCGTTTGTTGTTTAGTTTTTGTGTTCTGTGTTGGGCAGAGCTGTGTATTGACTGCCACCATGCTGGACTGGCTGACTCAGGGAGACGTTCACATTCTTCTCTTGAACTCAGAAGTTACACCGCCGGTTGATCCACTCAACTGACAGCTGCTTGTCTAAAACAAACACTCTCTGGTCCCCTCTGTGTTGAGACAAAGTGGGCTCCTTTGCAAAAGCTGTGGTCAGTCATACCCTGCATTACCTTCTGAGTTTCACCCTTGCCCCGCTCCTCTGAGCCTTCTTCCATTGTGGGGCTGTATTGGTTAGTCACAACTGGGGTTACCAGAGTTTGGCATGTGTACAAGGGGAAGGGCTGGAGTATGGATAACAGGTTAGTCAAAGGGGAAAGAATTTGCTGCAGAACAGAAAGAGAAAAAGATTATCTAAAATTGTTTGGGGGGGCACCTATGGCATTACTCAGGAGCAGTATTGCTGTTCCTCCTATGCTGGCACAAGTGGTTGAAGGAGCAGAACTTGCCGAGATCACAAATTCCCTTTTACCAACAGAGAAGAGGTCCTAGACAAGGACATGTGGCACCTTTTTGTATTTGCAGTTCTTGTTTGCTCGCCTAAGACAGGGAGGGCAATTTCTCCTGCCAGCTGGGGGCTGCGAAATTTGACTAATGAATCTGTGAAATACCTTAAGGGCCTCCTTTGAACACTCCTAGGACAGTGTAGCATGCCAGATACCGAGCTATGTTTTTAGTGGTAGGCTGTGTTATGGGTGACCAAAAGATTCTTCTCTTCTGCAGTGTGTATCAGAGATGAAATCGCAGTGCTTAACTGTCAGTGGGGAACACGCACTTAAAAATGTGACTGCTCGTTGCAGGCTGTGCTAATGCTTACAAAGTACACGGCAAATATGGGATCTGAAATGCAGATGAACAGATTTTCTGTTTGATTCCCAAGGAGGACAGATCTTAGTTTTGGCATTCTTTCATTCTCAGTAACTTTAGGAAAATAAAAAAAACTAAAAATTATTCTTTGCTTTTATTTTCTGCAAGGTGAAATTTTTGCTTTGTGCTGAGTGTGGGTGAGAGAACTCTCCCTGGTCCTTTTCCTTTGAAAAAGCTCACGCTGAGCAGAGAAGGAATTCTTATGGTTTGAGCGAAGTTGTGAAGAGCATCTGCAGACCTTGGGATGCCCAAGATTTCCCTGCTGCTGGGATTACATAATTATATACTTACACCGGGGCCTTGCCTGTAGTCATCCTTAGTGAGCTGGGAATGCTGTTCATTCTGTCTCCTTTGTTTTACAGATGTTGCCTAAAACTGAGGGATGTTTTGGGTTTAGGGAGCTGTTAGAGAAGAGCTTAGTCAGAATGTTGTTTTTTTCATCTGAGGATTCAGGAGCTGTCTGCCTGCCGGATTTTACTGAAGACTCTGCCCGTAAATGACAAATGGGAGACGTAGCAGTCAGAGGTTGGGAGAGATCATAAAACTGAAGAGAATTGGCTTTGTTTATAATATATAGGAATAATATGTACCAAAAATTGCCCCGTGGGAGCATCCTAGAACCCCAGACCCAGCCAGCTGGAATGGGTTGGAAATTGAAGTTTCCCTGGTTTGCTAGCATTAGCAGCTCCCAAGTTGAAAGTACAGCTGTTGGTTCCTGGGAATAGAAACCCTGTGGACGCTGCTCAGAAGAAGAGCAGAGTACGAGATCATGAGGAACCTGAACATGATGGGGTCGGATAATTCCTGGCTGTCTAGAGATAGTTGATGTGGCTGTTGAGCAAGGTGCTTTCCAGGACCTGCCTGCTAGGAAGGAATGCCATGGGAGTGGCAGCCAGCTGCAGGTGGATGTGCTGAGAAAGCCGATTAATTCTGTGCACTTCTGCAAAACCAGGCGGTGGTGAGGAGTGCTGCCGGGCTCTCCTGGGGGCTGCCTGAGCAGGCTGCAAGTGATGCTGTGCTCCTCTGCCTGGCTTCTGGATGCCTCTGCCCTGCGTTGGGGCACGGGCATGGGCGTGATGTGCGGAGGAAAGGCTGTTACCCGGCCTGTAAAACATTGTTTGTGCTTTCTAGATGACAAAAGTAAGTTTTCAGGTTACGTTCCCCACGGTCACTTTTCTGTATGGAGTTTGTGTCATCAGATGCCAATGACTATGGTAAAACATTCACTGGAACATAAATCATGATGCTTCAGACACCAGACACATGTGGCCAGACTTCCACTGCTCCCTACCCTCTCAGCCTAGGAATTATACAAACATTTCATCTCTGAAAGGACAGTACCACTGCAAATGCTGCTGAACTTAAAATCTGCCCTACACTTTGTGTTTCAGGAAAAAAATGTTACACTTTTAAAAAAAAGAAAAATTTAAATATATGTGAAGAGGCTGTAGTTGTCTGAACTGTGCATATTTTAAGATGCACAGGGCTTAAACTGGATATTGTGCTGTCCTGGTTTACTGGGACAGAATTTGAGAGACAGTTTTCTGTTGAGGAATGCTGCTTTTCTCCAGGGTCTGTGGTACTTTATTTCAAGAAAACCAAGTGGTAAGACACTTTGTTACAGTTTTGGGCCAGCACTGGTATGTCATGATCAAGCTCTTCAGTGGTCTTGAGATAAACAGGTGCAGGGGCTGGAGGAAGCGGAAACCCAGGGTAGTTGACCCCAGGCTGACATCAGGCTGGCCAATGAAAATGATTCCGTACCATAAAGGTCACGTTTATAGTGATAGTATACGTTTATGGTCATATTACAGTGATAAATAGAGGAGTTTGCTGGGAATGGCTCTTCCTTGATGGCTCTCATTCCAGGAGGACCTTCATCTGCCATCCTACCCCTGAGGCCTACTCCCCCACTATATGGGCTGAGTATAACTCTGTGTACTTTATATTAATATTGCTATTAATACTGGGTTTTATTATTATTGTTTTATTAAATCTGTTTGTATTTCAACCCACGAGCCTCCTTTCCTTTTCCCAATTCCCCCTGCTGGGTGGGGAGGAGTCATCAGGTGTCAGAACAACTGTATGAACCACGATGTGCATAAACACAGCGAACTGAACTGTGAGTGTGAATGCTGTCAGCACAGAACATTGTTTTTTCTGGAGCTACTTTACGTGCAGCTGCTACATAGTGAAGGACTGATGATTACGCAGGTCTGGGGGCGATTTCTGGCTCACAACCTAAGGGTTGTACTTCCAGTTTGGGGAATGGAAGTGCATAGTTTAGTCCTGGACCACTGTAACTATTACAGTTGTTTGTATGTTACAGATGACTAAGGACAAATTTAGTTTAAATTACAGCTTTAGCTGCAGGGCTTCCACCAGCACTAGAATAACCTTCAGGAACTACTGGATCAGATGGTTGTCTCAATACTCTCCAATAACCCTGTCTATTGCAAGTCCTCAAAGAAAAACGCTAAACAGATCGAGCGCACCTCTGAGGCCGTGAAACATGACAGGGGTCTGTGGCCTCTCAGGCTGACTGGCATGAGTGCAGGTGCTCCAGGTGAAGGGCGCTGTCTTGTACCCCATGGTTGACATGGGGTGTATCCTGCTAGGGAGCATGGCTTGGTACCTGGCTCATTTGACAAAGAGTTAAAAGGGCATCAGGGAGGAATTTCCCTATACTGAGGAGGACGCAGTTTAGCTGGGCAGCTTTTGGTAGGGTGGAAATCAACTAGGAAGTTGAACTAACAGGATTTTAAAGCTTGCTGGAGGCAATGCTAGGAAAGAGGGCTGGAGGTGTTGGTGTAACTTGAATTATTTTGTAGGTTCTAGGTTTATTTCATTAAAGGTGTATGCCTGAAAGGATGAAAAATGGAGAGGCAGAAGTGAAAGAAAAGCCTAAATATGAACCTGCTAACCATTTTCCCCTTTCTTTTTATAGGTGAAGCCTCAATTTGAAATGAAGGTAAACAAGATCTGTGATGTATTTCAGGCTCTACTGTATAGGACCCAGGTAGTTGCTGGGACTAACTACCTTATTAAGGTTTGTATGTATTATAGGAGGAAGTGCTTTTTAGTTAAACAATATAGGTGACTTGCATAGTGGCTTATAGCAAGAAAGAGAAGCAAATGTAGTGGAAAAGCATCTGCTGTGACTAATAAGAGTCAGGAGCTATCTCCAGATGCTTATAAAAATCCTGTTTGGCACTACAGTAGAACAGGAATGTCAAAACTTATAAAAAAATGCACTGTGCTTCTTCAGATGTGAATGATTACTTTCTTAGGATCGTCTCACTCAAAGACTATAGATTGTCTTATCAGCTCCAGTTATTTAAACCAGTCATAACTCTGCTCTCCTGTTGCCTTTCAAGGCAAAGTAGCTTTCCTGTTGCCTCTGTGTCCTCCATTTGTGTTTATGATGATGAATCTGAAGCCAGCCTGAGGATCTGATGGAGAGTTAATTTTTTATTTAATGCGTCTTGTGCTCTGCTGTCTAGTTTTGCATGCAAGCGTGTGCGTTGATGTCTTGATTTTGTGTCATGTGCTCCAGAGGTACAGCCTGCTTGCTAGTTCTTTCTGTATTTTCAAAACCTCCTTTCTGCTGCAGGGGAAAAATGGGTAATGCTTAATTTGGAGCCCTCTGATAGTGCCATTCATCCTACCCTAGAAAACCTTACCCATGAATTTGAGCGACTTTCTGTGAAGTAACGTTTAAGAAATTGCTAGGCGTATTTTGCAAGTGGAGAAAGCATTGCTTAGTGACAGGCTGGCTTTTTGGAAGAGAGCAAACATTGCATGTGACTGCTGTATCTTAACCCCACATGTGTGAAGACATAAGCCTGGCAGGATATGCTCCCTTGACAAGGGTCATAATGTTTTTATTAAAGAAATTGGCAGGTAGGATTTGGAGGGTAATAATTCTGCAGAGACACACAATGAGCATTTGCTCCATGCATCTCATATTTAGTTGATCCCAGGAAGGACAGACACTGCCAAGCCTTCTTCTTTCTCAGGTCCTTCCTTAAAGCAACTCTGAACAGTTATTTGTGCTCTATGAGCACCAGGGTACCATACCGACAGACAACCTATCGTATGGCAGTCTGAGTCCCATTTACATGAATGATGCTTATCCTTCCCTTGCTCCTGTGAGATGTGCTTTTACTTTGTGGACAAAGTACGGAGTAATGAAGAGTAGCAATTTACAGGAAGGCTGCAGTAAAGCCAGAAGTCGCACCCAGTTGCACTTCTTCCCTTAGTGCCATCTTATTGCTGACCGAGGCAATGTAAAAGACTTGTCTGCTGTCTGCACAAAGCCTCATGACCAAACTGCTCAGAAATGAAGATTGACATGTTACCAAACTTGGAAGAAGTCCATTTGTAACACTGAAAATGGATTATTTGTCTCTTCTTTCCCAGGCTTGCGAGTGACAGGAAACAGTTATGCATTTTAGCATTAACTGGAATGAGCTCTGTCATGAGATTCGTTCTTTTATACTGCTGTATTTTCCACATCACTAATATTTCACCAGGAGACGTAAAGCTGAGATGTAATTCAGACCAAGACAAACATAGTGCCATGTTGCAACCACCAGAAAGCACGTAAAGGCCTCTTAGAGCCTAGGACATTAAACTTTCCCTTAATAGTATATACCTCACACACTGGGAGTTTGGCACCTGCTGTGCTTGGCTCTGGATGTGCAAAATCATGCACAACTTTGCAAGAAGTCTTTATGTGAGGATTTTCTGGTGAGGAAGGTGAGTTTGTTTTAGAAGTTATTTTAAAGTATTTTTCACTCGCACTCACTCCCACAAGCACCAAGACATGTCAGGTTGCCTGTTCAGCCACTGATGTGTCTGCAGTAATTGTGCAGACAAGAGATCCTGGCTTTTGGGTTGACATTTCTTTGTAGGAGCATGTGGTGATTTTGAATAGATCTTTCTGTACCTTCTTGGAGCTGGTGCTGTCTCTGTGCCTTTCCCCACCCCTGAGTCATTCAGATTTATTAATTGTCTCTTGTCTCCTACCCTGAGTGTCCCAAGAAGCTGTGAGCTGATGTGCTGAGATCTCAGTGACCAAAATAGGATGCCACCAAAACCTTTCTCCTGTTGTCCCTTTTAGTGCTTCCACACCCAAGCAGTCTTACTCATTTTCCATTCACATGAGCCTGAAGGTTTTCATTACGGTTTTCTACAGGTGTAGACAGTTTCTGCCACCAGTTACTATCCAGACTTGGGTTTACAGCTGTTGGAATAAAAAGGGAGATAGACCTAAAGTTAAGCTCTTGAGCAAAGGTATTCTTGCAAACATGTAAGAGCATCCTTTTGATTGAATGTGCTTCACCCATGATCCTTACTTTCCTGCTGTTTTGGTTTCTAGGTCCAAGCTGCTAAAGAAGAATATGTCCACTTAAAGGTGTTCCAGGCCCTTCCTTTTGAGAACCAAGGCCCTAAGCTTGAAGCTTTTCAGACTGGCAAGACCAGAGATGATCCTCTGACCTACTTCTGAGAGGTGATGTGGAATGATGCCTCACCTTGGCAAGTCGCAGGTGGATTCTGCCTGTGTCAGCAAATGCAGGAAAAGAAAATAAGTTTTGAAAGCTATTTGTTCCTCTACTGCATGTCACGTCTAGGTCTGCTGCCTGGCTAAAGCTCACGTAGGCTCTGAAATACTAATCAAGGCTGTTTCTGCCACCTGAGGTACCAAGAGGTAAGACAGAGCACACCCATTTCAGGTCCTCTTTCCTAAACAGTTAGGCATGCTCTGTAGATCGAACTTGGGCCTCCTGAGTATACTTCAGGCATTAACAGGCTATGTACTTGGGTTTGCTTTAAATGCATTAAATAAATTTTAAAAAAAAGTTGGTGGGTTTGTTTTCTTCCCTATATTTACATGGAATTTTTGTATTTCAATTTGTGGCTATTGCCTCTTGCCCTTCCACTGCAGAGAGCACTTCTGGGAAGAGCCTTGCTCTTTACTGCCTTGGCCTTTACCTTGTCTCCCCAGGGCTGACCCAGCCCAGCTTGCTCAGCCTCTCCTTGTAAGTCAGAGGCTCCAATCATTCGTCCTCATGTCCCTTTGCTGGTGGTACAGCTGTGTCCACCTTGTGCTGAGGAGCCCAGAACAGGGGACAGCACTGCAGCTGTGCTCTCACCAGTGCTGAAAGGGAGCGGAAGAAATGTCCCCTTGAGCTAGGCTATTCCTAATGCAGCCCAAGGATACCACTGGCCAACTTTGCTGCAAGGTCCTTTTCTGCAGAGCTGCTTTCCAGCCGCACAGGCCCAGCCTGTACAGGTTATTCCTTCCCAGGTGCAGGACTATGCCTGTCCCTTTGTTGACACCTGCAAGATGCCTGTCTGCCCATTTCTCCAGCCTCATCCTTAAATGTGTTTGGAAATGGCTTCCAGGATTATTTGCTCCATCACCTTTCCAGGGACTGAGGGCAGACTGATGAGCCTGTAGTGCTACAGATTCTTCTTCTTGCCCTTCTTGAACATAGGAGTGATATTTTCTTCCTTCCAGCCCTTGGAAACCTCCCCCTACGCCCATGACCTTTCAAAGAGTATTGTGCATGGCCTTGAAATGACCCCAGCCAGCTCACTAAGCATCCGTGGGTGCATCCCCTCAAATGCCAAGGCACTAAGTCCAGTTTGTTTAAGTGTCCCACTTACCTGATCCAGCTCTGCTGAGGGTGTTCTTCCTTTCTCCAGATCTTCCCACTCCTATAAGGGACCTCAGACTCCTGAAGGCAAGTTACACCAGGTCCCCTGCTCCACCAAGCAGAGAGGGCTCAGATTTTCCTTAGCATTTGCTGCTGATGTGTTGAGATACCTGCCTTTCTTGTTGCCTTTCATGTTCCTCAGCAGATTAAAATAAAGTATTTATAATTAAAACGTAGAATAAACATAAGGTTATCTGGAATATGAAAAACACTCATGGAAAAAACTCTGAGCAGGATAACAACCAATAATGAAAATCAGTAAAGAGAACAGTGAAACACCAGTCAAATACACCATCTCAATTCAAGAGAAATATTTATTGTTATTAACACAGAAATGCTTGTCCAGCTTAAGTTCCTTTCCAGGACTTTTCCTTCGGACTGAAAAAATAAGAAAGTTGGTTGTGTTGGTTTTCCCTTTAACTCACACACTCCACTGGATGTTACATTCTACGGCTGCAAGAGGATAAGCACGATTACCAATGGAATGCTTGTTTGAAAAGATAAAATCCTCCTCTTTCTTTTACTTTCAAAACTGCTACAGCTCAAGTCTTCACCAATAAAATAAACAGTATGATTTAAATCTACAGGTATATTCACAGTTGCAAAACAGCACAGAAAATATTCTGGTTTTCCTCTTGCTCCTTGGCATTCATACATGAGTGCTAGCATCACTCCCCTTTCAATTCCCAGACTAAGGAAGCCCACAAACAGGACTCAGCCACAGTATTGGGGTTGCACTGAAGTCATTGCAGCTGCTTGCATTTGCATTACAGTAGGTGAAAGGAGAGCAGT